TTTTTTTTTTTTATCTTCACACGGCCAGTGTTGAACCTCTGAATGTTTTACAGATGTTAGAAATCGATTCTCTGAGAGTCAACCTGCGCTTGGACGGCGTGTTGGTCAGAGAGCTGTTTGAAGTCAACTGGCGATACGAGTCTGGTCTGGTGACCAACATAGAGCAAATGGTGGAGGAGTACCGTCAGATCAGAGGACTTGAGGTACAACATTGTTTGGCTATCAAACATAGAAAACAGTACTAATCTCCATCAGATTGATGTGACAGTAAAGGAGTCAAAGAGAGTGAAATTAAGAAGATTAAGATTAGGAAGTCCTTTATTCGTCCCACAGTGGGGGAATTCACAAACAGTGAAGGCAGGTGATCAGCTGTAGCAGTCCTTAAAGGGAGCAGACAAAGGACAACCTTTGACTTGTGTCTTATGGCACTGGTTCTCCAGCAAAATAATGGATGGGTTATTTGAAATGAACTAAATACAACTCATGATCTTGTTTTCTCTCTAGCCTGTTCGTGTGTGTGTGCTGGGTCCTCCTGCAGTGGGTAAGACTACAGTATCAAAGCTGATCGCTGAACACTACAAGATCCACCACTTGACCGTGAAAGACACCATCGCTGAAACTATCTCCAGACTAGTAAGCACTCACATTAACTGCCTCAGATGTCATCACTGCAGCTCTGCTCAGTCTTTGTCATCTGGGTGCACAAAATGCTCACAACCTTGCCTTGGAATAAACAGTCTTCCTGCTTCCCCCCATTTAGGAGGAAGCAGTGAAAGAACCTGAAAGCGAGGAATCGGCGACAGAGGCTCAGGAGCTGCTCAACAACCTAAAGGACAGTATGGAGCAAAGTGGAGGTAGGAGCTACAGTAACAGAAGGCCCCACCGCACTGAGGCCAACATCCCGGTGGACGCTGACGATTACGTTGTCACGTGGCGTTATACATAGAGGACGTCTTTGGTTACATTGATATTTGGATTAAATGTTTTTTGTGGTATCACACCTTCAGGTTTTGAAGGGTAAATACCACTAACATATTTATCTGTTAGGTTCTTTGGACGAGCAGTTGTTGGTGAAGTTAATGAAAGAAAAGCTGATGTCTAACCCATGCAGAAATCAGGGTTATGTTTTGGACGGTGTTCCTGAGACGTACGACCAAGCCAAAGAGCTCTTCAGTGGTGAGGCAAAAATGAAATTGGCAACAATGTGCACCAGGTTCAAAACACACTGGATTTGCTGTTATAAATAACATCTCTCTCTCTCACACTCTTTTTGTGTTCCAGACAGTGAAACAGAGGTTAGCGGAACCAACGTTCCTTCTGCTAAGATTACGCCAGGTATTTTTAATCAGCCGTTACTGGTATAACAACAACAGACATTTAAACCTCAACCTGCTGTGAAGGCTGAGTGAACGTTATACAGCTGAAATCAGCCTTAAATGAATGGAATACACTTCAATTCAATATTATTGTCTAAATCATAGAAGGTAATGGAGAAACAATCAAATATACTATAAACTATAATCTCGTCTAACCCATGCAGAAATCAGGGTTATGTTTTGGACGGTGTTCCTGAGACGTACGACCAAGCCAAAGAGCTCTTCAGTGGTGAGGCAAAAATGAAATTGGCAACAATGTGCACCAGGTTCAAAACACACTGGATTTGCTGTTATAAATAACATCTCTCTCTCACACTCTTTTTGTGTTCCAGACAGTGAAACAGAGGTTAGCGGAACCAACGTTCCTTCTGCTAAGATTACGCCAGGTATTTTTAATCAGCCGTTACTGGTATAACAACAACAGACATTTAAACCTCAACCTGTGGTATCATTAAACTTCTGCCTTTTACCTGCAATGGACATGTTTCCCTAATAGATAGCGTAGAAAATGATAAAAAGCATCTTAGCATTTTATCCTTTGTGCATGACTTTTACATGTCATTTATCTATAACAGTTATTAACAGGTATTGACAGTAAAATGTTTCAAACATTTTGTAGTAAATAAACTGATTACATGTAGCAGTTACAAACAAACAAACAAAAAATGTTTTGTGTACATTTATGTTTTCCTTATGTTCCTCAGAGTTTGTGCTGTGCCTGGACGCACCTGACGAGATTCTACAAGATCGAGTGATGAACATGCCTGAAGGTTTGGGGGAGCACAGCACTGTGTATGAGCTGTTCCTGCAACGCCTGAGCAAATACAGAGACGACAACAAGGGGGACGAAGCAGAGGACTTCTTTGATGAGCTGGACATCCCCTCTACATGCAGGGGTAATAAACAACACATGTTGACCAACTATGATATGTATGGGCAGATCTTTTTAACCACTAGCTGTAAGAGAGACACCTATTAAAATTGTGTTGAGTGATGTTTTTGTTCACTGGTCTAAGTGCATGTTTCCTGACTTTGTCCGTTGTTTTCTTTTTTAATACTGCTGTTTCCTCCAGAGATCACCAACGACGACGAGCCAGACAGCATGATGCTAATGCAGATGGTTACAGATGCAGTCGGAAAGCCCCGGAACTATGGACCCACCAATCTGGAGATGGAGGAGGAGGAGAGGAGAAAGACTGAGGAGAAGATGAGGAGAGAGAACCAGCAGAGGGTGCAAGAGGAGCAGAAGGAGATAGAGGAGGCCAGGCAGAGGGCTGTACGCTGGGAGGAGTGGGTAGGTGCTAAGAGGCGCTGCATAAATGTGTGGTTATTAGATTGTCAATCTGAGCGGACCACTGGACAATAGTACAATCATTTAACCAGGACTGACCAAGATTTAACTTAGCCAAGTAATTCTACCAGGAAGATGGAGCAGCAGGTTTAAACTTTTTTTTTTCCAAAGCTCCGATCTTATTTGGTATCATATTTACCGACTTTACGGAATATTTACAGAGAAACAAGATTATTTGTCAAATGTGAGGGTTATAGATACAGGTACAGGTACAAGTACAGTACTAGTAGTACTGCTGTGGGTCCAATATTTTAATGTGTCTTTTATGTACAAGAAATGACAAATTAATGACAACAAACATGTCACATGAAATACAGGTCAAATAAGGTGCAGGGAGCAACACACCAGGAGGACTGAGGGGGCGCCATCTTGGTTATCATAGAAAGGCACCTCAGTGCTGCTTCCTCCACTTCTACTGTTGTTGTGGCTCCTGTCTGATGATGATGACTGTTCTGTTGTTGTATCAGAGGAAGGGTTTGGAGCAGGTGAGGCAGCAGGAGCAAGATTTGCTAGAGGCCCAGTCAGCTCCCATGAAGAACTACCTGATGGAGCACGTCATGCCCACTCTGACCAAAGGTCTGATCGAGTGCTGCATGGAGCAACCACTGGATCCTGTAGACTTCCTAGTAAGTTCACTTTAGGTTCAAACAGCTTCATATTCTGAAAACTTAACTGATGCCTAGAAAGAAAGTACACTTTCATTTGTTGTTTTTCTTTCTCCTTCCAGGCAGAGTACCTGTTCAAAAACAATCCCTATGATGCAGAGGTCACGTCTTTGACCCTAACAGATTTAGACCAAAAGGAAGAAGATGAAGAAAAAGACAAAGAAGAAGTAGAAGTTGAAGGAGAAGAGGAGGAAGAAGAAGAAGCAGATTGTAGTGATGAAGACTGATGAAGAAAAAGTAAAGAACCCTTTTAGGGTATCTGACCCTTCAAAATAAATGATGTCCATAAGTCAATTACCTCCCAGTTAATTAATAAAGAAAACCTTTTGGAGATCCTGAATGCATCATTTTTTTTGCACAGCCAAATGGTGTTTTATATTGTATTTTTTGTTTATTTTATAGCACTAGAAAGAAATGTTGTTCTTTCTAGTGCTATAAAATAAGTGTAGACAAAGTCAAAAACAAATTAAGAAGTCAATTTGTATAAATGTACTTGGTCGCCTCCAGTGAGTACACAATGAGGTCATAATTACTTCAATATCTTTTCCATACAAGAATCATCAATGTTATAAACAGCAGCTAATGTGTGCGTCTCTTTTCTGCAATTAACAATAATAGTACACAGAATTGTTTTTATTTTTAATACTTCATCACCACATACTGTAGGGATATTAGTTGTGTTTGTCAGGGAGACGTCGTTAGACAGGCTGCTGTCATTTTGCTAAATCACATGTGAGTTTGAGGGACAAAATACAACACGTCGGTCCTGAAGTTGTTCCAGTAAATGTCACTTTAATGTTGCCATAGGCTCATAGTGTTGTAGCAGTGACAACAGAGTTGGTATTCTCTGTCGTCCACTAAACAGAACAAACTACAGTTTGTTCCAATGGTTTCACAGCAATCATTGTAATATTCTGTCCCTCACTCCATTAAATGATTGGATGATATGGTATGCATGACTTTTACATATAATATATATTTGTTCATACAAACGCTCCATCTAGTACACATCTCTGGCCCCGACCCTGTCAAAGTTTAGGACCCACAGTGGCCCACCAGTCAAAACGTTTGCCCACGCCTGTCTTAGATTATGAAGTGTACAGTATTTGAGTTCCGACTCACAGTGGAAGTCAAGTTACATTGAACTGCAGGATCAAAACTCCAACGTAAGTCGAGGACCCCTGGTATATATGTATGTATATTTATATGTGTGTTAACTGTCATGATGGTGCTGTTAAAGCCATTGTCAAGACAGTAATGAGTTAAACCCATCAACTCTTTTTTAGTTACACATTGTTCTATATCTGTAATTAAATTATTTGGATTAATTAAGTGTGAAAGAACACATTTTTCTGCTGTTTCATTTAGGAACGAGGATTCATCATGATTAATTCACAGCAACCTCCTAAATAATCAGATTAAATTAAGTGCAAACATTTTTTTTGTTTCTGTGTTTCTTTTCCATGATATGTATTTATTACTATTTATGTTTTAAATGTTTTAATTAAAATTGTAAAAACTTGTGTTTGTTGTGTGCAACTTAGTAAAAAAAAAAAAAAAAAAAGTTAATCACCCTCACCTCTCACCTGTGTCCACTTGTTAATCAGTGTCCCTCGTCACCTGGTGGTTCAGCCTGTGATTCATGGTGTTGGTCACTACATGTTGTCGAGTGTTTGTGCTGCGTTGTTCATGGCTCCTGTTTCATGCTCCTTCTGACGTCATCTTTGTTCTTGTGTGTTGCTTATTCCTGTCTAGTCCTGGTATCCAGTAAGTGAACGAATTTAAATTTGAATTTGAATATGAATTATTGAAAAATGTAACAAAAAAAGATGGTAAAACTTGAAGTAAAATTGAAATCCTAGTACAATTTGTTACCTGTGTTTTTGTCGTCTTTTTTCATACTTTGAATCTGTTAGGAACTCGCGTGTACGTAAGGCATACAATTTAATAAAAAAGAAAAACCAAGCCACCTCAGCTGACTCCTCTCCTCACCTCCTCACCCTCACCTGTGTCCACTTGTTAATCAGTGTCCCTCGTCACCTGGTGGTTCAGCCTGTGATTCATGGTGTTGGTCACTACATGTTGTCGAGTGTTTGTGCTGCGTTGTTCATGGCTCCTGTTTCATGCTCCTTCTGACGTCATCTTTGTTCTTGTGTGTTGCTTATTCCTGTCTAGTCCTGGTATCCAGTAAGTGAACGAATTTAAATTTGAATTTGAATATGAATTATTGAAAAATGTAACAAAAAAAGATGGTAAAACTTGAAGTAAAATTGAAATCCTAGTACAATTTGTTACCTGTGTTTTTGTCGTCTTTTTTCATACTTTGAATCTGTTAGGAACTCGCGTGTACGTAAGGCATACAATTTAATAAAAAAGAAAAAAAAGAGTCTTGAATACTTTGGAAGCTTCACGTCACCACTGTCTAAACTTCATCAGGTGAAACGGTAATCATCCATGTAATGTCTGCTTTAAACCGCTAGGTGTCCCTCTTAGACGATCTATTTCTGTTGCTGCAGCGCTAAAAAACAAGACGAAACCCGGTTTACTGCCGGAAAATAAAGGACATGGAATTACAGTTACAGTAAAGTGTGTCGTTCCAGTGACTTTTTTTTCTTTCAGTAATGTAAAGCCGGGAAAAATAATTTCCTTTCTTATTATCCGTCCGTATTTTTTAGATGAGAGAAACAGAGACTTGCGGCCTGGACTTTCAAAGCCACCGCCCACATGTACTGTGTATTAGAAGATTATACTACGATAATAGTAATATTTAAACCCTTTATAATTATAACTAAACAATTTAAATAAATAGTGAATGAAAATGATGAATAATTGCATTTGTATTTTCAGGCATCATACATTGAAATATAAAATAGTACAAGTGTAAATAAAACTGTTTAGAAAAAAACATTAGGGAAATAAGATTGAATATAATGTGGCAATAAATATGCTTAAAACATCATTTAATGTCTGTTTCCCTTTTATGTGTTGATAGAAGGAAAGTGGAAAAATATTAAACATCACCGAGAAACCAAAGTTTGTAAGGAACTCATTTTTGACTTGTCTTTTAATGATTATTAAATTTTATAAGACTTTTTTTTAAATTATCTTTTAGTTCAATCATTCTAATTAATTGATTTCAGGCAGAATTCTCTCTGTAAGATTTTGGTTAATTTTTTTTGCAGAGTGTCATGTGTCATGTCCACTCATGTGTGTGTCATGTGTGACTGACAGCAGATTTACTGAACGCCTCATTCTTATGTGGTTCTAATGCGGTTCCACCTTCCACCATCCATTTCTTATATATGCTCAATGAGATTATTAAGAAACAACGTGTCTGTAAAACTGACTACAGTTTAGACACCAATCAGTGATGCTCCTCATCGGCCGTCATCGGAGAAAGGAAAAATAAAGGCGGTTATGGAACAAGGTGTGAACTAGTTAGTCAACATGAGGATGAATGGATGGGTTACAGCAGTGGAAGTGTGAGAAAGGAGAATGATGACTACTGTGTAAAACACAAGTACAATAATTAATATTCCAGTTTGGATTTTAATGGACCTGTGTCCATCATCAGTTTTTTAAATGATAACGTTCAGTTATTTGTTCAGTCATAAACTCATACACTACACTGAAAATAATAATTCAAAATAAATCTGTTTGTTTTTATCTATGTGTTTATATGTGTGTATATAAGGTGTGTGTGTGTGTGTACTGTTTTAAAGACATTCAGGTTCATAATGTGACTGATCTTCCAAATGTGTAACCTGATTATTTACAGCAGTGGTTCCTAATCTTTTTTGGCGTGACATCACACATTTTTCTGGCGACCCCAGAGACATTTTAATTCTAAAATTAATTTCATGTTTGTTATAGTGTGTCACAAATACAGAGCAGCCGGATTAGTGTATTTTCCAGCGCCAGCTCAGATGCTTTTACATGCTGCATTTTATTTGAACTGATTTTTTTATGCATGAAAGTGAACATAAGTTTTAAAAAAACATGTAAGTAAAATATGCTGGTGATACCAATTATCTTTTGGCTTTTTTCCCAGATAGCAATGCTTCCATTGATACTTTGTTTGATTATTTTTAACCAAATGCATGTGTCATACAGTATACTGGCCATTTAACAGCTACGACGACGAGTTAGGCTGTGCACCCTGAGACTACTCTTCTGCCTTTAGGTTATGTGCTTCACAGCATAGAGGAATGCGAGGACATTGTGGATGTTATACTGAATTGTACTTTTCCTCTTCTTTGATTGCACTTGGCAAACATTTAAAGAACTTAATTCTGAGGTGCATCGTACACAGTGTGGCTTCATTTCCATGAAATGTGGTTATGTCATATGCCTGAACAGACAAGATCATTTGGAAGACATTAAACCCCCGAATCAGGCCATAAAAGCCCCCTCATGTCATCTACTCCTAATCGCCCTACAAACGGACCTATCTTTGTTCTGAGGAGAGAAATTGTGTTTTGTTGCTAAGGAACAGTTTGCCTCGCATCTCAGCATGGGGTTTCATCCTGAACATCATTGTGTTCCAACTCCAATGGGGGGAGGGGGGTGGGGGCACATTTTTCCTTCTGCCAATATTTGTCTCTGAATTGACTTGCACTCCAGAGGCCCTCAAAAATGTTCCATTGATTAAGCCCAGGGAAGGCAGACGCCACACCTCTTAGAATGTAAATAAATAAAGAGGCTTCCACCATTGTGGTTGAACATAGCTGTGGCAGACAACAAGGAGCAGCAGCAGATTTTATTTTCACAATGAACCCCCGAGTGGAGGAAAATGGATGGTTATAAGGACGGGCCGAATAAATGACTGTTATTGATTTGTCACCTGTGAATTCATTACAGCTGCAGTGGTACGCTCAGAGGACGTGTAATCATGCAACACTTTAATATGTACATTTGATATGTGGGGGCAAACTACGGCCCGGGGGCTGGATGCAGAACGTTAGGCGTTTTAAACCAGCCCACTGAACTTTTTCAAATTTGATTATCATCAGACTTTTGTGTTTCAGGAGTTGTTGTCATCTTGACACACTTGGTTTGTGTTTTCCATTGAAACGAGGAGTGTCTCGGAGTTTGACAAAAGTATCGTAATAAATCAAAGGTTCTGCCGTCAAAGACAAATGTTGGAGTGTGCAGTGGCAAGGGGAAAGGAGGAAATGCAGAGAGCACCCACCGGATGCTCCGAGGGGTGGATCCTGCCGGGCACCAGCCGTAGGATGGATGGATGTGGGGATTGTGTTGACAGGAGGGAAAGATGATGACGACGTGGAGGGGGAGGAGCCAGGAACCCGTTCGGCGGGGAGGCTGGGAGCATCAGCCAAA